CGGTAATACTCCGTATCTACGCCATTGAAACTGTAGCAATTTGCGAACATGCGGCACAAGTCGGCAATAAATAAGTGTTGCTGAAGAGAGCAGTGATAGAGATACAATATTAAACAGGAACAAGTGGATGTACTCACATGCACGTAGTACTTAGCTCGAATGCGCTCCGACATCGTTTTGAGATCAATCGGGTATTCGATGTAATCGTAGTATTCAGGGACCTGAATTTGCAAAAATAGAAGGCATATATCTTCATATTGGAAGTCCTATCAGCTGTATCCCACCAAAGAATGTTTTCTGAGGGCTGGCGATTTAGCTAGGGATGGCCCCAGTTCGAAGCGGTCAGTTATTGTTAGGGACCTATACCATAAGACCCGCTTTGGCGCTGATCTCGAATCTGCTTTTAAAATGTGCAAAACGGTTTTCTGAATGACTTCATGATGGCCGTATCGGGACATACTGGACGGGTCACATCAGGATCATCTCAGACTATTTTTTTTGTTCAATTTTCCCTTCACTAATGAGTTGACTACCGCCTTCCCATTCTTACGTGAGTCCCACCACCCATCATTAATCACTTATGATGGCGGATTGTGCGTTTAGTGTGCGAGTGCTTTAAGGCTATGGGATGAAAAACCAATTAGGTTGAGCGTTAGAGGCTGTCCCAACGGCGTGACGGACTGCACGTTCGCCCGGTAAGCGTGAAGTGAGGGTTTGAGCAGGTCGAGGTCAAGACTGCTGCAATCAACTTAGCAAATTTATGAGGTCTTAGGAGCGCGAACCGCGGCGTTCAACAGCACTTATGCCAATAAAACAACGCCAAAGCTTTGGTTCATTTGCTACTCACCAACGACTCCACTAGCATGCATCCACCCGCAATGACTTCGAGACAAGGCGTACGCCCACCTCCACGGTCCTTCCAGGTGAGAGGTGAATAGGACCGCTGCGGCAGTAGCGCGTCACTTTCTCTGCCCAAAAAGCACGGGAACGGGAACAGTTAGGGGGATAGTCATACCGGCTTCCCTCTACGCACTCCGTCTGTACTCAATGCGCAGCCCTTGCGTCGATACCACGATCCCGAAGCGAAACAGCACTCAGCGTAGGAGAGCAACCACAAGTGAGAAGGCGCGGAGGCAGCGCGTTCGGTTACGGCTAGGTGTGTGGCTGGCCGCGTGGCAGCGCAGGCGGAGTATAGCGACGACACTTGAGTATCACTACCATCCGGCCTCGTTACCGTGCTTTTTCAATCGAGGTAAGTGCATGCTACTGCAGCTACGGACCTCACACATGGCAAATACCAGGATCCACGGAGGGGTGTACAATTTGTCTCTAATAACAGCGCCGTTAGTATCAATACAGCGACAGCGAAGAGAGCGGGCCCGCGCGTGGGGCAGAAGACTAGGACCTGATCGGCTGTGGACATGGGCACTTCATACGAGAGACGACTTCTCAGACCTAACCTCAGCGAAGCTGATACCATGGTTCCGACAGAGCCTTTTCTGAGAAGGAGGTTTTTGTTTCGAACATTTTTTCGGAGACGCCACCACGTTACCTTTGAGTAACCCAAGCAGGAAAGTTATAAGTAAACAGCGAAACCCATTCATGTGAAAGAGAATCTCAGAAAAAACTTTGTCACCATTTCTCCATCAACTGGCGCTAGGAACGGCCAGCTCCACTTATCGCCGTTGAGCTTCTTCAGAATAAGCTTCATTTTACTTTCCAAATCGTCGTCTTTCACAGGATTATCGTCATCGTCGTAATATTCGAGACCAGGTATTTCTTTGAATCGGACAATATTATGACCTAAATCATTTCAAAGGAGATGACAACTCCAATAACAATGTAAACAAAAT